TGAGACAATACCTCCTAAGGGGCCGTTCCAGTGGTCAATTCTCTTAACCTTAACGAAACCTATTTTTTTAGTTTCAGGAGACAGTGATTGAGGGAAATCTGCAATTTCCATCAACCAGCTATAGTGGTCCATTTACCCAGAAATACAGTTTTTCATACAGTTCGGTTGGGGTCTTAAAAAAATTTCCCCTCGTGTGTGAAGAGGCTATGGCGATCGATCAGTTGACTCCAAATCTGGTGCGCGAATGCAAAATCTTAAATCATCATAGGGACAGGATTCAAAAGGGCGGAGGCCACCCTTATTGCGGAGGAAATGTGATGATGTTTATCAGTTTACCAGCCATATTGGTACAGGAATGCTTCGAAAGGTGAGAGAGCTCGGTTAGAGCCGTTAAACCGCAGCGTTCTCTTCCTAGACCACCTCATTGTGATTCCCAAGTTCCTGGTAGGGCTTCTAGTCCGTTCACCTCACTGATCTTGGAAAATATGCACTCTGTACGACCTCAATGAGTTGTCAAACGCCCGCCGTTCCCTAAGACAGTACCTCCCCAGAGCCATTTCAGTGGTCAAAGTCTCTTAATCTGATTGAAACCTATTTTTTTAGTTTGAGCAGACTGTGTCTGGGGAAAATCTCTATTCGTCATTAATCAGCAGTGGTGGTCCATTCTCCCAAAATTATAATTTTTCTTATAGTTTGGTTTGGGTCCTTAAAAAAACCCCTTTTGTGTGTAAAGGAACTGCGGTGACCGATCAGTTGGTTCCATATCAGGTGCTCCGTATGCAAAGTCCTGAATGTTCGTAGAGACAGGATTCAAAAGGGCGGGACCACTCGGTTTGTGAAGGAAATGAGATGATGAGTATCAGTATACCGTTTTTGTGTTTTTTTTGGTTTTCCAAAAAAAAAAGAAATGTCAGGAAGAAACGTCAGATACAAAAGCAGGACTCAGCTCCAACTGGATGGAATGGTCCACATAGTGAAAGGTAAGGTACTGAGCCAGGGTGAGTCCGACCTTATAGGAAATAGAACTGTCAACCTGATCCATGCTCTTTTCCTTTAATTTCCTCAAGTTCTATTCCTAAGGGGAAAATTGCCTCAACTACCAGAATCGGCGCTCGGGAGTTATCCTTTCTATGAATCTTTCTCCATCAGAACTGAAACTATTGCCTTCATTCAGATTACGGAATCGACGTCAAGTATAATCGATAGTAAGGACATTTCCACTTTTCACAACAACTTATTCGGGTTGTTTGTTTGGTTACGTAAGTTGGGCTTCCAGAATTTCAGGCAGAAAGCTCGGCACGAGGGCATAGAATGAACCTGAAACGCATAAACTTTTTGGGGCTAGTTAATCCCTACCCATTAAACGGATCTACGTAAACCAGAAACTTCATATATGGCTCTCGGCTAATCAGTGATCAACCCAGGAAACTCTTGAGGCAGCTACCTTCATGCCTTTCTTCCTAGACCGCAAGTCTATAGGTCTGATTCTCAAAATGAAGCTATAAATCTTTCTCAAACATACATATCGAAACCTCCCGCCTTACTTTCATGCATTGTTGTTGCCAGTCTTCTTCTGTAAGGTTACCGTCCAGGATGTCCGCAGCATCCTCGCAAGGTGCAAACGTAGGAGCAAGACGGGGAACCATGGTCCAAACGACTATCTCTCACGGAAAAAAGAAGGAGCCAGACTGGTATCGAAAATGGTGTCGTGAAAGAAAAACCATATTTCCAAACTCCGAATCATTTATTCACGATCGATTGATTGTACTGAAGATGATGTTTGTTTATTTAACTCTTCGCTTCTTCCCTTCTAAGTGCATAGAATTGGGATGCTCAATTCGGTTACGGTTAACTTTTTCTTCGCAAACAAATTCGGCAGTTGAGATGCTTTTTCGTTTTTGAACAACTGAAATCAGTAAATATCAAAAAGTATTGCATCATTTTACCGTAAATATAACTTCAGTATTTGCTCTTGAACTGTAAATACGATGTTAGGTAATAAAAAAGTGGCTACCACCATTTACGACGACTGGTATTTATCTAAGCGACCTTCTGACAACCGAACCGACAGCCTAATATCGTGTTCTTCAAACATAAATGCTAAGGGCCAGATCGCCCAACCCAACTCCAACACACACACGCTTACACACACACACACCCACACACGCACACATACACACAAACACACACACCCACACACCAACAGACACATTTAACGAATTATTTATAGTA